GCAATGCGTACAGTTATCCCATATGCTATCTATCTACATATGCTCTTTAAGTTTTTCATTTGTTAAAAAAAAGCCAGTTACAGAGAGAAGTGTGGGTTGGGACCCAGCTTCAAATATCAAAACAGCAACTTTTAAATTCTCATTCTTGTGATTAAAACAAGCTTGCAGGAGTAACAATGTAGGCTTTTGAATGCCACTCTTGGGGAAAAAAAAAATCAGTCAAATTAACTTGAGCTGTGTGGGTAATTGGCTTATTTCTGAAGACTTACATTTATGTGGCTCTGTGACAAAGAATATTAAGATAATTTGTAATGTCTTAGTAAATTTCACCTATTGATTTAGTCCTCTTCCCAAAACACTGATTTCCCCACCCTTCATGTTATTTTAGTGGAGCTGCAGTACAAGCTGTGTTTTGTTTGCTTCCTTGATAGTGCACTAGTGCTGTGCACCTGAAGAAAAAAAAAATCCAGAGAATGGCATTCATCAAGTTATAGATTTCAAGGGAGTTTAGAGATACTTGCACCTGAAGTCACATGTGCAATCCATTAAAGTTAAAGATTCTTCTTGTACATATTTAATAAAGTAGATGTGGCCAGAAAGTCTGACTAACATTTTAATAAAAACTCTTGACTAGCTCTAAAAGAAACTGAGGACATTTCTTAGACAGTGGAGATATTTAAGTGAGCCTCTGTCCCTAAAGCAGAAGTCAAGCCTCCCTTCTTTCAATGTACAGAGTATTCCAGGATCCGAATAGTACCATTGTAAACATGCTAAAAATAGATCTTTGAACTATATGGAGAACCAAGGGCCATGCACACTGACTAGAGCTAGTTTTCCAGCCACATAAGGAGATATCAGGTTCCTGAACTCCATGCCCCACATGGGATGACGGATAAAGGAAGATGTGTTTGGAATGAAGGATGGATAATCTGAAAGAGGTTATCATGCCTGACATGAGATTAGAGCCCATAAATAGCAGGTGGGCTGTTCAGCTGGCAATATACTGAAGACAGTAGAGATGGTGGCAGTCTGTGGCCCATACTGGAAATCTAGATAGGGTAAGCATGTAAAAGTATGTCTAGCTCATAGGTAAAAGGTTAGTAGGGATACATGAGGTGTTGAGTGGATTTTAGAACCATGATTTGAGTTCTAGTTTGGTGTTTTAAAATGTTAGAATAGTTAACAATTTAAGAGGCACAGTATTCTCAACTTAATTAAGTAGAGTCAAACTTTAATATTTGAAAATAGCTTGTTAGGGAAAATTTGACTGTTGATTAGCATTGTGTTATATATTTCTTTATTAGTCACAAACATTAGCCAACACCATACGGCATGGTTATGTCTGATCCCCTGCAGAAGCTGGAGTGAAGAGCTGAGAAGATGTGCCATTTTTAGAAAAGTCACATTAATATACAAATAGAGAGAACAGTATGAGATTACATCAGCAATATGGTGGGCTGTGCAAAACCTCACATCAAACAGGATTTATGCCGACACTGAACAGATTGTCAATGAACTGAGTAAGCCAAGCATCCAACCATGCTATCTGGACCATTATAACCTAGTAATTATACGAAGTTCAGAACATACTTCTAATCCCCCCTGCCATTATCTGCACAGAACCTGCTGCAAGTCAGTTTGTAAAGTGGCTATTAGGACAATACCAAGGCTTTATGAGGGGGAGCAATATAATCATAAATACTCAGAGCTTTGCCTATACACCACTATCTGTACCTGCATCAACACCACCATAACCAGTGCCATAGCTGACAATGATAGTATTACTGCAGATAATGGTCAAAGCAAATGGTCTTGACAAAGTATAAGACTGTTTAGCCAAGTCTACAGAAATATCACCATTATCAATAATTGTAGACAAGACTTTGGAGACTGAAGCAATCCTATTATACCGATATCGTTTACCTCTAGGTCTGGGCATGTACAGAACATATTAGTATTAGATAAAAAGGTCTGATGCTCTAATATAATGCAACCTTGTGATTGTTACTTCTCATTGAAGAAAATTATTTCACTGATGTACTGTCAATGCAGTGCACGTTTCTGCTCCATTTCACCAAATACTGCACTTAGGCTGCAAAATACCCAATTCAGAAGATATTTAAATTACAGCAGCTGCTGTGAACTGTGAAAACTTTGCCTAATTATTAAAACTTTCAGTTAAAAGCAGTAAACATTCTCATCAGTTTGAAGACATCTCTGATAATCAGTATCCTGTTGAATCAGTACAATGTTTATGAAGAAAAAACATGTGTGGTGTCTACTATCACTTGCAGTTGTTAATCTTAATTTGTTTCTCTTCTAGAAGCCACCTGTATCACTTTCCCTAGACACTTGTTTCTG